TGTGTTTTAAATATAAACAGGACGATGGATAATGTCCAGAAATGCTATAATTTTATTCGTTTAAATAGTTTGAAGGTCTTTCCGCTAGATGTCGCTAGAAGTAACATTTAATCATTCGTGAGTTGCCCACATTTAATGTTGAATTGCCGATCTGAAGTTATTGATCCGTGATGTAATTGTAATTGTAATTTATTTCGAGTTCCAGATGATCCAACAAAACTGGTTACAAACCATAGGATATAGAACATGTCAAATATTAATTAAAATATGTCAAGATAAGCAGAAGAACATAAAAGTACAATACAATCATAAGTGCAGTTCAGGTATAAGTTGAGCTCAAGTAAATACTTAGAACATGTCAAAATTATTCATCATCGGTAATCTTTCAAGACGACAGGTCCACAGTCTCTTCCAAAACAGTTCCTCCACTTAAATATTAAATTGTTTGTGTATCCCAACAATCCCCTTTATTTCAAAAGGCAGATTATTAAATAACTTTATACCTGTAAAGTAAACACCTTTTTGGTACAGTGTTAAGGTGGAAGTTGGGAGATATAAATTACTACTCTGCCTTGTCTGAAGATTATGTGCATCATGATTAGTAGTGAAAAGTTTTCTATTCTTTGATACAAAGAGCAAAACTGAATAAATATATTGCGATTTCAATGGTAAAATTCCAAGCTGCCTGAAAAGATTTCTACATGAATGCCTATTAAAATATCTTGTCATTAAAGGAACTGCTTTTTTTTTTGTATCATAAAGAGTTTCTTGGTATTGGTTGCCTGCCCCCAAAATACAATTCCATAAGATAGTATAGAGTGAAACAGAGAATGATATATCTTCACCAACGATGACCCTGACATATAGTCTGACAGGTCTTATCATAAGCAAACTGTAGTTAGTTTGTTAATAACTGAATCAATATGTATATTCCAAGAGAGGATGTTATCAACTTCTAAACCAAGAAATTTGAGATGAGAGACTTACACTATATCACTAATATTACAAGAAGTGGAAGCCTTGGCAGGAACAGAGTTTTTGGTTATAAATTGCATAGCGAAAGTCTTCAAAAGATTGACTGATAACAAATTTGATTTAAACCATTTATCTTTGATTATAAGACTTGCATTAAGTTTAGTTTCCACAAATGCAGGGCTCTTATCAACGACTATGAGGCTGATATCATCAGCGAACAAGATAGATAAACCAGAATCAGTAGTAGCTTGGGGGTGATCATTAATATACAATAGCTTGGGGGTGATCATTAATATACAATAAGAACAGCAGAGGACCAAATACTGAGCCCTGTGGTACCCCTTGCTGTATTTTAGACCAATTAGATGTGATATTAGAAGAAGTTATACTATCTTACAAGCTAACAGGCTGGTATCTATCCTTAAGATATTGTAAATATAATTTCTTGGATACTCCAGTGATTCCATATATTTCCAGTTTGTGGAGAAGGATGTTGTGAGTTATACAATCAAAACATTTTGCAACATCGAAAAATAGTCCCTTGGCTTTTAGTTTCTTATTCAGTGCAGTTAAAGTTGCATTTATTAAAGTATTTATATAGCACTGTCTGTCGACAGATTGTCTTGGAAGCCGTATTGATTTGGACTAATAATAGTATGTTTCATGAGATGATTTACGAGTCTGTTATGCATTACTCTCTCTACAATTTTTGAGAAGGATGTTAGTAGCGAGATGGGTTGGTAGTTAGCTAATGTTTATTTATCTCCCTCTTTATACATTGGCTTAGCTACAGAGTATTTTAATCAGTCAGGGAATACCCCACATTGTAAAATTTTATTACAAATATAACTTAATTGAGAGCTCATATACGGTGCACTGAGTTTAGTGATCCTCAGAGATATTTGATCGTATCCACAAGAATCTTTAGTTTTAAAAGCTTTAATTATTTTTTCAATTTCTTTAGGTGTGGATGGTTCATTACGAATTTTTGGGTAATTATTTAAAATTGCCTGATGCATATATGGTAAAAATTCTGTAGCCAAAATATTGCTATGTTTACCATTATCTGTTTTAATTAATTTGTTACCAATAGAAATGAAGTAGTCATTAATTTGATCAGCAGCATTTTGATTCTTGCATTTCTTAATTAGATCCTGAAAGTCGTTTCGTTTAGAGAATCTGCCCGTTTCTGAATTAATTATTTTCCAAGTAGAATTAAGTTTATTATGGGATTTCCTAATATAGTTGTCATAAGCAATTTTTTGGCTAAAACAATGACCCTGTTTAAAATTTTACAATAGTAATCTTTTAGAGCTAAATTCCCTTCCTTTTTTAGTCTTAAATATAAGTTGTTTTTTTGTTCACATGAGACTCTGATACCGGTGGTGTGACTTTATAGATGTTAGAACACGGGAAATGCGAACGAACAAAACGATATGTAAGAACCGTAACGGGCCTAGCTTCGTAGTCTTCATGTCTAAAGCAGAGTATGGCATGTATACCGGTCTTATTTCGTAGTTTTAGTGTGTAAAGCAGCGTATGACATACATAACTATTCATGTTATACTTACCTACCGTCATTACTCATTCGCACTATTTACTATAACATGCAAGTGTTCAGAATTCGCTGGGATATACCAGCTTTACGAACACTAAAGTGTCTAATCTGTTCCATAAATGTACTCACCGAAATGATTACTGCTCCTTCAACTTCGACACTTAAAATATTCAATCACTCATACTTTCGCAATTAGCCTTACTGCTTGCCATTCTCTTTGGTCGTGGTCCAGTTTCACTGCGAAGGTTATGATCAATTTACACACATTTCATCGATCTCAAAAATAGCTCATTATAGCACTTGTCATGTATTTCTCAGTCTAATTATACAGGAATTATGTCGCCGAACTTACAATCTCTAACACAAAACACAATTCGAAATTCCACCCGAATAGTTCGTGACATGTGTCAAACACTGATCACTACCGATCACTACATACTTCATACGCGCCAATCCACTGAACACAGGTGTATTCATTATGGACGAACACAATACGTAATTTAAAGTAACAGCCTTCCATTTTCACACTGGTTCAATAAGGTGGTCCGATAAAATGAGATAAAGACAACAGAGGGGACATGCCTATTAGGCACGTGTGGAAGAAAGGTGCTGTGAAATTCAAGGGGCAAACACCTGGCATTAATTTATATTAACTAGCATCCAATTATCCATTTTTTTCGTGAACAACGTAGTTGATCCGATTTCTGGATGGCGGTAAAATCGTTCATAAATCTCGAAGTAATATTGTTACCAATATGTAATCCTATTCAGTTTTGTGATAGCTACGACGTAGTGTTCAAGCTAACTTTATCTTCAGGTTCGAGGTCGTTTTCACTGTACCTATTCATGGTTTTAACCCGAATTTTAGAATTATCTCAAATTTACCAATTCAATTTGTGGGAGGAAACGTTTCGAAGTGACACGCACCATTCTTTACCTAAAATGGGTACTCCCGTTATCGAGAGTGTTATACACAGTCAAAATGCCGAAAATTGTTTTATTAAACGGTTGATAGAGGGCAGACGGTCCCACGCTAAACATTTCATTTCGTTGCTCTTTTGACATTCCTTGCAACGGAGATCATTTCAAGACGAACACACCAGAAAGTTAATACAATGGAAAACCAAGAAAGTATAAAATTAAGAAAAGGATAAGTCGTGGGCAATTTATGATTACAGATGGCGAATTCAAATTACACGAAATATCTTGTTCAGGTTTTTGCTTCACCGCCGAAGGATTATTTTAAGGTTAGCCTTCAGAATGTGGTTACCAGTTCATGACATTCTTACTCAGAGTAAACGGTGCGATGCCTTTGCAGTATCAACCTCGGTCGGCATGGAATATGCGCGAAATTTCATTGGGTTATCTTAGCGCCCTTTACGCTTTAAATATGATACAACAAAACTTACGTCTCTCACTTTTCAGGGCTTTAGTTTTGCTACGAAAAAATTATCCTCATTTCTTTTTGTCGAAGGTTGAGTAAGGTGGCATTACATTTCTCTGTATTGAGTTTGGATTAGGATTTTTTTTAATCCGCTTAGTGGGGGGTGGAGTCCAACTGGGGACACTCGGCACGGCGGCCACTGATTGGCCTATTGTAGCTTGCCCCGGGTGATTATGATGATGCAGAAATTTGGTGGACTGAAGATTGGCAGGGGAAACCGAAGTATTTGGAGAAAACCCGCCCCAGCGCCACTTTGTCCACCACAAATCCCACTTGACCAGACCTGGGATCGAACCCGGGCCGCCACTGTGGGAAGCCAGCGACTAACCGCTTGAGCTATGGCGCGGCATAAATTAGGTTAGCCCACTGTTTTAATTCTCCACTAGATTGTGTTGGTGTTATGTCTTTAGTAAGATGCAAAAAATATACCAACTCACGTTCCTCGTAATGCATACATACCATAATTTTATGCCATAGCAGAATTCATTACACTTGGTTGGGGTGGGGGTGGGGGGGGTGAGGCAAGTTGAAGCCGGCACAAGCTTATATGCTCCCCCACTCCAGACGACATGAAATTCCTCGCCTCCCTCAGTTAATAGCACACAAACCTTCTCAAAACTAATCTCATTCACTGGCGATCACAGTGGCCGCGCAAACTTTGGGATCGTGGGTTCGAATCCCACTCAACACATGGATGTATGTCTGCGTTTATTCTGTGTAGGTAGCGGCCTTGCGACGGGCTGATCCCCCGTCCAAGGAGTCCTGCCGAGTGTCTTACGATTAAGAAACTGAAGTGAAACAAAGCATTTCACGGATGCCCTATGCTCCAGAGTGGGAGCAACAGGGAGGAGAGAGAGATCCCCTTCATTGTTCAAGATGGACAGTTTGGAAAATATCGTAATTGCCTCCAGTTAACAGGGAATACTGCCGTATGCAGATCTAAGTACCATCTTACTGCCATCTACTAGCCGGCTTACCGAACTCTAGCAGCACATGTAATAGACCAATATTGTTTTTGCGTAGGTTTGTTGGTATGCTGTAAAAGTCTGCCAATGATGGTGGAAATGTTTGAGTGCGAAATTGTGGAAGGAATTTAATTCGTTTCTGAACATTGTTTTTATATGTATTTGTCTACATAACAGTCTTACATACAATTTTGTGCCTATTGTGAAGGTGTCTTCGTAAAATGTTCCGAGTAATCAAATATGCGCGCGTCCAAAGAATAAGCGCGGACGTACGTAACCTAAAAGAAAATAGACGGAATGCTGGGCATAGTAAATGGGCCAATATAAAACATACTAAAGCAGCGAAAGATGCCCAGAAGTCCACAACATTCCAGAAAATGTCACGACTTATACGTCTGGCAATACAAGGAAAGTACTGTTGTAGGAAGTTCCGACAAAGCGTTTATTAATGTAAATAAAGGTTACGATAATACAACAGGGGTAGGGACGGGAATAACTAAAACTCCTACACGTTGACCGTATCTTGAATTGGAAAACATACATCGTTTATGCAGTGTCTAAATCTTAGTTGTGGCAGTCACATTACTTGTGATACTTACAAATTTTATTTTTCTTATATCTTATCCATCTTGCTGTAAGGAATAATCTTATGCCCAATGTCAACAGACAGCAGAAGCATTTAACATCCAAATGAAAAGCAGAATAATGGCACACGTTATGAAGTGTATCTCACAGAGAATCATTTACCCTTAATATACCTGTTCTTGCCAGTGAATTGTTACTCATTGCAGTCATCATTGTTGACAATATGGAAACATTTCAAACAGATTCAGGCATAAGTATAACTCTGGCAAAATTCTAACCTTGCTGCATACCAGAAAGGCCTGTATTATGCAGGAATGAAGTTATTCGCTGATCTACTATTAATAATTTAAATCACAGTATAAAAGTATTTAAGCGAGCATTTAAAGATTATGTGTCACCTCAAAGTATCTGCTTAGAAGATAAATCCATTTAAAATAAGATATCAGTAAATAGTTGTAACATATAGGTATTTATGTATACATTTGTATTAGGTGTGTGATATGATCTGTGTTTTGGTTGCCTTTTTCTTTAAGTTGATGATTTAATGACTGATGTCAGGGTTGAGAAGACTATAGTGTCAATGGTTGGATGAAATTTGACAAGGAAGACTGAAGGCCTGGACAAAACCCATGACAGTTCCACTTTCTTCACCACAAATCTCATATAACCTGATTCCGAATCAAACCCAGGCTGCCATATTGGGAAGCTAGCAACTAACATACATACATATGCATTTCAAGATATTCATAAGTGCAATCTGCACTGAATATGAAACATGTCACAAGCTTTACAAACAACAATACATCTTTACAATTCTAACATGCCATTATCACAATAAGAAACAAACATAAATGCAAACAACGTGCGTCTAAATAAATACATAAACTACAGATTATATTTACACTTAATGTCTATATTAATGCCTACTGTGGGACATCCATCAGTCAGCATGCACTCCCCTTCTGTTCCTTAGCTGTTGATCCCGACAGAAGAGCAAAAATTCATCAACAGTATATGATGGATTATGCATTAGGACGTCCCTTGTTTCTCTTATAAACTGTTTTTTATCATGTACCAAATCTGTTAAATATTTTTATACTCATGCAGTGGACCCCTTTCTGCCTCATTGCGAGATGTGATTGTAGGACATGTAAATTTCTGTCGTGTCTTGTCAGTCTCTCATAAATTGAATAATTAAAAGTAAAATACTCCACGTTATTTATCATAAAAGCCATCAGAGATAAAATATGTTGAGAGACCAGTGTTAATATATTTAACTTTATAAATGCTGGCCTAAATGACTCTCTATGTTTCATCCCCATTTTTATTTTAATAGTCTTCTTTTGTAAGAGAAAAATCTTCTTGGCCTCTGACGAATTACCACAAAAAACTATTCCATATCTCATGAGTGAATGAAAGTATGCATGATATATCATTTTAAATGTTGTAACATTACTATATGTTTTCATAATTCATATTGCATAACATGCCTTTCCCAATCTGGGTAACAGTGATTCAACCTGTGTCTTCCAATTCAAGCACTTATGAATTTCAGTGCCCCAAAATTTAATATGAGTTTCGTCTTGTAATAATTCATCGTTAAACTTTAAATGTACAGACATATTGTCACGATTGATTGTTTGAAATTTTAACACTTTAGTTTTCCTCAAGTTTAGGGATAAGCCATTGTATTTAAACCACTGACTTAAGGAATTTAACATAAGTTTAGACCTTTCTTGAATTTCATCGATATTAATACCCGACACTAATATACTTGTATAATTGGCATACAACAATGACTTGTTGTCAGTACTTAATGCTGATGGCAGGTCATTAATATACTATAAAAGAAACAACAAAGGACCCAAAATCAAGCCCTGTGGCACTCCATATTTGACAGTTCCCCAGTCTGAACAGCCTTTTCCATTCTCATTATTATAACTCTTTGTTTTCTATTTTCCAGATAGGACTTTACCATATTTTTATTTTACCACCAATGCCATATGTTGCTAATTTACTCAAAAGAATATCATGACTCACACAGTCAAATGCTTTTGTCAAATCACAAAAAATTCCTAATGAATGATTGCGTCTTTGCAACATTTCTAAAATATGATTAGTTAATGTATATATTGCAATTTCTGTGTTACTGTTCTCTCTAAATCCAAACTGTGCAAAAGATACTAAATTGTTTGTATGTGTTGCTTTATCCTATTGTTCACCACTCTTTCAAAACTCTTAGAAAAACTTATTAGCAATGATATTGGTCTATAGTTTGCCATAATTGCCTTCTCACCTGTTTTGTATATAGGTCTTAATGAGGCAAATTTCATTCTATCAGGATGTATTCCATGCTCAAAAGATGCATTAAATATGTGACACAATGGTTTACTTATCTCAGTTATACAGTATTTCAATATCTAACTAGAAATGCCATCTTATCCTGTAGAATCTTTTGAGTTTTGCAACATAAGTATGCTCCTTATTTCCACCTCCGTTGTGGGTATTAGCCTCAGTTCAGGGAATTTATCAAATTTCAAAGTGTCTAAGAATTTAACAGCTTCATTTTTATTGGCACTTTTCATTTCCAGATTCTCAGCTATAGTTATAAAGTATTTATTGAATACTTCTACTACTTTCTTAGTATTAGTTACTTTGCTTTTCCCCACTTTCAGTTCGGTTATATTATCTGGGCCCCTCCTTTTCCCAGTTTCTTTAATACTCATCTTCCAGGTTAATTGTATTTTGTTTTCCGAGTTACTTATAAGTTTTTGGTAGTACAGTTTCGTAGCTTCTTTTATCACTTTCGTTAATGTCATACAGTACTTATTATAGTATGATTCCAATCTTTCATCCTTTGATTTTTTAACTAAGTTGTATAAAGCTCTTCTATGATTACAAGATGTTCGTATACCTTTGGTTATCCATTTATTGGTGTCTTTCCTTTTTTTGTACACCAAGGGAAAGCTGTTTTCTAAAATGGTTAAGAAGGTATTATGAAATTTATTAAATTTCATATTAACATTCTCTTTATCATAAACTGCTTCCCAGTTTTCATTTTGTAATGCCCGTTGGAAATGTGCTGTGTTCTCATCATTGATATTCCTAAATGCTCTTACATGGTCCCTTTTCCTTTTCACCTGTTTATTTTCAAGCTCTAAGATTTGCCCATCATGGTCTGAAAACCAGTTTATTGCAGAATGGGTTTGAAATTTATTGAAGACATTCTTATCTAAGAAGAAATGATCTATGAGTGTGACAGAACTGCTTGAGCTGTGGCATGGCCACTTAGTCCTATAAAGGATGCATTTCAGTCCTATTGAAATTTGACTTCATTATACTTCACAACTTATTTTGGCATGAAACCTCAGTGGAGGAATTGTACTCTTCTTTCCAGTTAATATATTCATGAAGAATTATGCATATTTGCTTCTTCTTCATTGGGGTTATTGGAACTGAACATAAATTGTAATCATATGATTCATTACATATTTTGTGTTACTTATATTTACTTAGTTCACCCCCCCCC